TCTTAACATAATAAAATGCATAACAGTCTTAAAAACTATGGATCAAAACCACTCTCACAAATGAATAGATATTAGTTATTACAAAGTCGGTTTATTATAAATAAATAAATAAATTAGAAAACAATATTCAGAATGGGTTTTTTTTGTCACTATTCAGAATGGTTTATAAAATAAAAAGAATCCTAATTTTTTAGGATAGTTAATGTTCACTTCAATCTTTCTTTGTCGCAATTGTCAACCAAGTTAAAGCATCATTATTATTATTAATTTTTGGACGACAGTTAAAGCTGATTGTTAGTACTAGTATTAAGTATTAACTATATTAATTAACTTTCCCATTATTAAAAAACCATTAAATTTTACATTCTTTAGTTTCTCCTAATGACAAACCACTTAAGATTTCCCTTAATGAATTACAAAAGTACCAGTGTCTAATTAAATTGAAAAAAATGGAAAAAACATTAAAAGCTATTTAACAGCAAATCTATTGCCTTGCCATGCAGCTTACCTTTTTGTTACTTGCATACGTGTTAATGTTACATTAGATTCTCATCATTTATTGCAATAGTTTCCTTAACGGACACTTTTTTCAAACAAACTTTCACACTAAACGGACAAGTAACGTTTAAATATAAAAAAAAAAGACTGACTAGATTTTGACTTTTGATTACGGACAAAAAGAAACAGACATCACTAACAAATTAATAACTACTACTAATAAAATTTTAACTTATATAAGATATATTTATTAATAATTAATAGATCTCTTTTGATTATTGTAAAAAAATATTGATAATTAATAGATTGCAGTAAATATTTTCCACATGTAAAAAAAATTAATAAATTAGTTATATGATTCTAAAAATAGTTGTTTATATCGATTTGATGCAATTATTTGGTGATTGTAAATACCATTTTCAGACGATTTGTTAAATAATTTATTTAATATGTATACTACTATATATTTTTTAAAAATTTAAATTATAGGAAAAATCCTAAAATATAATTGATGTGTATGTTATAATTAATATTTTGATATTTTTGGGTCAATATTCTAGTTCAAGTCAATACAATAACGACAAAATTACCGTTAAAATTGTTATATTACGTACAAAAAATAGCGTATTTAAAATATAATTTCAAGTATTCGAATCGCGACAAAAGTTCTCAAAATACGGTTTCATAGCTTTTAATGATCAATACTTTTTTCGATTTTATTGATTTAGTATATTCAGTGGTTTTGACACGCGTAATTTTCATGTTATATGATAGTGATTAAGTAACTCTGATGATATATTTTTCATGATATTTCCATAATAAAAATATGTTTTATGTGCGATATTTTTGTAAATTGAGTGAATATAATGTGGTTCCATGAAACTGAGTAAACCTAGTCACTAACAGTTTTTCTTTTCCATGAGATATTAAAAAGTCATCAAGCGCATGCGTTATGTTAATTAATTTTGTTGCTAAGGAACCTTGGACATTTACTAATCTATGATCTAATCTAGAAAGAACTAGGCATAACATTTTTTACCAGGTAATCTATGAGAAAAAGCGAAAACTTGAAAAACCATATCCTTGAATTTTGTTACTATTACAATAAAATTAATATATAGACTTAGTCTTTAACTTTAGTTTTTTTACTACATTAGAACTTATAATCGTTTTAATCTAAAAAGAACGACAAACATAATAACCGATTTATGGTTGTTTAATGGTTGAAACATATTCATCCTAGGGTTAAGAGACAAGGGTCCAAATCATTTCATTGCGGCTCAATCAATGTTTTTTACTATAGACATTTTAAATAACAAAAAAAAAAGAAGAAATTTTCCAACAAACCAACTACCATAGTTATAATATATGGTTGAAGAATTCACCCTTGAAGTTGGGGATCAAAATTCAAATCCGTAATCATGATTATCGCATATAAAGTTACTCGACTATTCTATATACCCTAAGGAATAGTGTGGACTTTGATTTAAGATCATCCGATTGTAAAAAACGACAAACATAATTGCTAAAGAAAAAAAATGAACGGCAAACAACATTATTCTATAAGAAACTCTAAATAAAAATCAGGTAACTCGAACATTAGAGTTGTGTATATGAAAATTTTAAGATATTTGGTAATCAGCATGAGAGTATCACCATTCAGGCATTCACCAACAATGTTTCTTCTATCAATTTCATGAAACCCTAAATGTCCAAGTTTCATCCAGTAAAAAGAACATTTTACCGTTCGTTTCTCATATTCAAGATAATATAGTTTGAATGTCTCTCTAAAAGTTCAAATTAATGGCGTAGAATAGGGTTTTGTACAGGAAAACGTTAGTCATATATAAAGAAAAAACTTATTATCTATACAGACCAAAGTTACTCTTGAAATAATAGCATTTTTTTTTTTTTTTGCATTTCTACATACAATGTATCCACAAATCTAACAAAGATATACAAAATCTATTTGAAAATCAATCCTAAACAAGAAACAAAAGATCAGGAGATCAAACAAAGACAATTACATGTTATATAGAACTACAAAAAACTTATTGGTAAATAGCATTAATTTTTTCTTACTTTAGTCTAGATTTTCTTACATAAATTAACACACGGTTTTTATTTTTGTTGTATCTCTTTTTTTTTCTAAATTTTGTCAACTTTTCTTACTTTGCAATATAATCATTAAAATAGTAGATAAAAACAAGTTTTATTTATCACATATTTTATTTATTATTTCTTTCTACAAATAATGCTTACATATGCACCACTACAACATTGACAAATGTTATATTTGCGTGTCTACTTTATACGTCTTTAAATATCGAGCTTTGTTCACCCTAAATAGTTCATACAAAGTTTAAAGAAAAAACACCTTTTACAAAGATTAGTAGAATGGCTTTTGCTCAATCTTTCTTCAACCAAAGCTCTGTCTTGAGTATCAATGTTTTGGTTGTGGACGATGATCCTGTTTTCCTTCAGATCATGTCACGCATGCTTGAAAAATCCAAACACAGAGGTAAGATCTTAACAATGGTAATATGTTAATGCTTTCTTCGTAATTTCATTGAGGTTTTTATGTTAATTATAAAACTATACGTAATTTTTTGAGAAATTGAAAGATGAATTCTATTTTGTTGAAAATTAACACTTATCTTTCTAAATCATCCGGATTGGGTTTGAATTCCGATTACATGCACACATCTATAAGTATTCTTACTTTGATGATTTAAAACTAATATATGGTTGATAAAATAAATTTCCAACCAAAATATTATGTTTTAAACTAGTATTGAACAATAGATGATTTTATAAAATAGCTTATTAGTGTTGAATGAAAAAAAAAGAAAAGATATGTTCATATCTTTGCAAAGTTTAAAATTAACTGATATTCTTCGAAACGACTTTTTCCTTATATGTAATCAACCAATTGTCGACCAAAGAAAAAAGAACAAAAAAAACCAATTAGCCTTTCAATCACAAGCATATATAAACATTTCTATTAAACAAAAAAAAAATGTATAAATATTTCAATGAAAATGGTGTATGAACTTTCTCAAAATTTGCGAGAAAGCTCATAAAGTGGAAAATTTTAAGCTAACCATGGTCTTTAATAATCCCTCAAATTAATTTGCTTATCATCTTTTCTTTTTTGAAAGGTTAA